AATCACCCTTGGCAAGGCCCTCTCTATGCGTTCCATTTTTGATGATTCTCAAGGTATCAATGCAGAGATGATTGAAGATGGCGTCAATGTGTCGCCTGCTGGCTCCTCGGTTCTTCGAGAGATGCAGCAGGCCGTCTCGGATGTAGGCCCAGACTTAGGAATCATGACAGGCCCAGAGGGTCGAGAGCGACAACACGAGCTAGAAAAGCGGGAGGTTGTGCTAGAAAAGATTGCCTACGCCGCAGAGGAAGGTGGCTTCCTCCGCAAGCTGCTATTCCCTATCGAGGGTGAAGGCATCAACCTCGGCCGCGCAGGCCGATTTGACCTGCCTGCCGTACTCGGATCCAATCGGCTCTGGTATCATCTTTCTCTCCACCCAACTGATGATTCCCCAGCGCAACTTGCTGCTCTACCATCCATTACCTCTGCATGGTCGGCAGGCACCGTCTCGCGCCAGCTCCGCTCGTGGAGACTTCCTGAGTGGGCAAACCGGCGCAATAGAAACCTCGACTTCACTGCTGACTTCGATATTGATGAATTCGCCAGCCGTTATGCTGTCCTGGGCTGCAAAGACGGTAAAGATGGCATCGAAAGTTGGGTCCTCGAGCGAGGTTGGAGCAATGGCGAGGTTTTTGTTGGTAAAGACCGTGTCTGGATGCGGGAAGGTGCCTGGTGGGAAGCCGAGAGCATGCTGGACCTAAAACCTGAACACAACGACATGAACATTCCGGCTGTGAATATCAATCCCTTTGGATCCGGATTCGACACAGGCTACTCTGCCAATGGAAGCGGCTACTTCCCACCTCAGGGTATCGAGCCCAGCTTCAACGGAAGCAATGAACAGCTTATGCACTCTCGCAACTTCAGTCAAAGCCAAGTGACAGTTGGACAGCAGAACCCGCATGCTCCTCCATCTATTGCCCCTACGGCGATGCGTAACGTCAGTAATGGCGACTATGGGCTGGGTAACAAGGGGGACACTTACAAAGATGACATCTACTATAACCCTGAAGGCGATTTCACAGGAACTATGGACCCCGAACTCGCCAAAAATAAGAAGCTCCAAACCAAAGAGGTCTCCTTCGGGCGCCGCGTTTGGGTCGGGTTTGTCTGGGCTTTGACGTTCTGGCTTCCTTCGCCATTATTACAGCACGTCGGTCGAATGCGACGCCCCGATGTCCGCATGGCATGGAGAGAAAAACTTGTTCTAGTATTTCTTATTTTCCTGATCAACGCCATTATCGTATTCTGGATTATCTGGTTTGGGCGCCTTCTGTGCCCCAATTTTGACAAAGCCTGGAGCCAAAACGAGGTCAAAACGCATCAGGGTGAAGATGATTTTTGGGTTAGTCATTACGGTAAAGTGTACGACATTACCAAATTCTGGAGACAGCAGCACAGTGACACCGATGTCAAGACCACGACAGAGAATATGCTACCTCTCGCTGGGTTCAACTTGGATAACTATATCTTCCCACCCTTGAATGAAGTGTGCCAAGGTCTGGGCATCGCAGAGACAACAAGACTGATTTTCAACGAAACTGCGGAATTTAGCACTGCGGTACACACCTCTGGTTTCTACGGCAATCCAACCAGCAAGCTGCATGACCCTTTATGGTATTGGAACGTATTTGAGCCAAAAATTAAGGAATACTACAAGGGTGATCTCGTCTGGAGTGAAAAAGACGTCCAATCTCAGGGAAACAATATGCAACGACCTTGGGCCATATACGGCAACCAAATCTTCGATCTCACAGATTATTTCAAAACAAAGGATGTATACAAGGACGCAGCCATGTACAACTTTTTGGATGAAAGCGTTAGCGACATTTTTAAGAATAACCCAGGCCAAAATGTCAAATCACTCCTGGACCAAGTCATTCAGAACTCAGTTGGGAATGAGACCCAGCACGCCAAGGTCATGAACAGTTGGCTATGCGTTCAGCGCAACTTTTACAAGGGTATTACGGACTTCCGTGACTCGCCGAGATGCACGGTGAATAATTGGATTTTACTTGCCTTCACAATCATTATCTGCGCTGTTATATTGGTTAAATTCGTTGCAGCTCTTCGCTTCTCATCCAAGCGACGCCCTTCGCCACAGGACAAGTTTGTCATTTGTCAGGTCCCTGCCTACACAGAAGGTGAAGAATCGTTGCGCAAAGCGTTGGACTCTCTCACAGCCTTGCAGTATGACAATAAAAGAAAGCTGATATGTGTTATTTGCGATGGAGTTATCGTGGGTCAAGGCAACGACCGCCCGACACCGAAGATTGTTCTGGATATTCTGGGTGTAGACCCTAAAGTCGACCCTCCCGCACTACCCTTCAAGTCAGTTGGCCCCGGTAGCGAGCAGCTTAACTACGGTAAGGTGTATTCAGGTCTCTACGAATACGAAGGCAACGTGGTCCCATACCTTGTTGTAGTCAAGGTTGGCAAAGAATCTGAGCAGGGTAAGACGAAGCCTGGCAACCGCGGCAAGAGAGACTCCCAGATTCTCCTCATGAGCTTCCTCAACAGAGTCCATCATCGGGCTCCCATGAATCCTCTAGAACTTGAAATGTTTCATCAGATCAACAATATCATTGGTGTGGACCCCGAGTTGTACGAGTACATGCTCATGGTGGATGCCGACACGTCTGTTAGCGAAGATTCTCTCAACCGCCTTGTGTCTGCCTGTGCCAACAACGCCAAGATTGCTGGTATTTGTGGCGAGACTAGCCTGGAAAATGATGAGAAGTCTTGGACAACTATGATTCAAGTCTATGAGTACTTTATTTCTCATCACCTTGCTAAGGCGTTCGAATCCCTTTTTGGCAGCGTGACTTGCTTGCCGGGATGGTATGTCCACTACTCTGTCTCCGAATCACAAAGTCTTTATTAACGAGATTCAATCTAGTTTCACAATGTATCGTCTCAGAACCGTTGACAAAGGCAAACCTCTGCTCATCTCAGATGCTGTAATTAAAGAATATGCCGTCTGTGACGTTGATACTCTACATCAAAAGAATCTGCTGTCGCTGGGTGAGGATCGTTATCTCACCACACTGATGACAAAACATTTTCCGTACATGTCTTACAAGTTTATTGGGGATGCCCAATGCAAAACTGCCGCACCTGAATCATGGAGCGTTCTTCTGTCTCAGCGTCGTCGCTGGATTAACTCTACAATTCATAACCTGGTAGAGCTGATGCGCCTGAAGGAAATGTGCGGCTTTTGTTGCTTCAGTATGCGTTTCGTCGTTTTCATTGATCTTTTTGGTACCATCATTTTGCCGGCTACATGCGTGTACCTCGGCTATTTGATTTACCGCGTGGCCTCGCATACTGGACAATTCCCGATCATTTCCATTGCCATGTTGGCAGCAGTGTATGGTCTGCAAGCACTAGTCTTCATCCTCAAGAGGCAGTGGCAGCACATTGGCTGGATGATTATCTACATTATTGCGTTCCCAATATACTCGTTCGTCCTTCCGATTTATTCATTCTGGAATCAAGACAACTTCTCTTGGGGTAATACACGTGTCGTTATTGGAGAAAAAGGAAATAAGCAAGTGGTTGCTGTTGACGACGAAGGGTTCGATCCTCGATCCGTTCCTCTGCAGAGATGGGACGATTACGCCCTCGCCAATAACCTTCCCGGTCGTCGTGGTGGATATCAAGAGAAGCATGATTATGGTTATCCTGATCAGTACGAGATGGATGAAATCAAGTCGGTCTACTCTGCCGCACCTCAAGGCTCGGTATTGACTGGAATGGGCGGGCGCAACACATACATGCCACCTCAGTCTCCCGCTCCCTTCAGCAACATGAACAGTGCTCCCACAATGCAGGGCCAGTATCACGATGCTCCTGCCTCCATCCGTAGGCAATCGATGATGTCTCTGGGGACCCAAATGCAGGACATGCATCGTAGCCAGTCGCCGTACCAAGACTTCCCTACAAACCGTGGTAGCGTCATGAATTTGCGTGGCCAGGGAAGCATGACACCTTCCCTGGGCATGGCAGGAAACAGAGCGTCATCCGCTATAGGTTTCACAGGTGGTCACCGTCCACCCATGGGCCCAGACGCAATGCAATCCACGACCTCATTTGACTTCCAACGCGGCCACGTCGGTGCGGATGACGCAGCTATTGTGGAGGCTATCCAATCTGTGCTTCACGAAATTGATCTTGACACGGTGACCAAGAAGCAGGTCCGCGCCCTGGTTGAACAGCGTCTGCAAACAGAGCTGACAGGCGAGAGACGCACATTTATGGACCGACAGATTGATCGCGAGCTTGAAAACATGTAATGCCTTGAACCTTTTACGTGGTCCAAAGGGGTGCATTGTTGGGTCAAAATGGGCAACTCCGGGGGCGTAGTCGTTTTTTTGCTTTTGTACATGGTTAATTGTATTCACGACACAGAACTATTAAGCGAGCGAGTGACGTTGGGCAGAACATTGTGCAGATAAGACTCGAGAAATTGCTCGCTCTTTTTGTTATTTTGATGTTTTGGTAACTGGCGTTAGAGTCTTGGACATATAATTTCTGTCGATTATACACGGCCATTACCGAGAACGGTTCAGACTTTTTTCATAGCTTCACTAATACTTGATGGCATTGCAACAAATATTGAGAGAATTTAATTGAAATTGGGGTCCGGAGGACTCAAGGTCTTCGCGCGCGTGCTCACACACGCACACACATTCTTGAAATCATGAGTATTTTGCGGATTAGTTGTCAGCAAAACGATGTTTTCTTAGTTTTCTGCCTCTCCCCCCGCCCCCCGGGGGAATCCGTACTTCTTATGCTTTGCCTAAGGATCAGTAGTGCATGTGGAAGTTTCAATGAACATGTTTTCAATTTTCTTTGTTGAGAGCGCTTATATAGACTACTATTATTATAGCATTTGGCAGCACCTTATTTGGAGCCATGGTATCCATGATTGGGTCCTTGGTGAGTTGAGTTGGTCTATATGCTCTCATGTTCTTCTGTCTGGATGCCCCGTTGACGCCTCAGTTGAGATTTCCCACGCCCTTGAGTCGCAGGTACACGTCTGTGCCCCAGCCGTACAAGCTCTGGACGGCAATACCGCCGCCAAAGTACTCGGCGTAAGCACGACTTAGGGGCAGACCGTATCCCAAGCCAGCAATTGAACTGCCCCCCGTACTAGCAGTGGCGATGGCGCTGAGACCATCGCCGCCTGTGTTTCCCCCTGACCCGGGAAAGCCGTCATCGTCGGAAAATGTGGTGAATGAGTAGGACCATATATTGGGCAGAACGTCTGGGGAAATGCCGCCACCTCGATCTCGGATGCGGATTGTTACTCCTGGAGCGTTATCGTCCAAGGGTTTGATGGCGTCGCTGCGGAATTGGCCTCGATCTGTGTCTGGCTGCTTGATGAGTGGTGCGCCGCCGGGTTGTTCTTTGAGCGGTGGTTCGGGTGCGATGGTGACGACGACGGGTTCACGAGCTCGGCTTTCTACAGTGGCACGGAATGCATTTTTAAGTAGTTCAGTTACAATGTATTCAAGGTGCATGGGCACAAAGGCGAATGTGGTGTCCGGCTCGCCGTCGACGTAGATCTGGGGTCGGGAGCCGTAACGTAGCTCACAGATATCAGCTACAAAGCCGGCGCAGGAATCAATGGTGAGAGATGGCTTCAGAGCAGTGTCAATGACGCCAATGTATGACGGGTGTTCGGGACACGGCGTCGGGCTGTCCTCGGGTGCAAAATGAGGCTGACTACTGAAATGGAGGGCTATGTGCTGCTCGCCAACTAATCTGGTGCCGATTCGTGCGCGTAGATGCTCATCCAGGAAGCGCGTCACCTCTGCTGGCGAGATATATCTACGGCATTCCAGAAAGCCTTTGGCCAGGATGGGTATGGTATCGGTGTGGGTGGCAACGAGCTCTGCCAGGACGTTTGTGAACTCGATTTCATCCTGGAGGGTGGAGATGGGGTGGCCTTGGCTTGCTGCTTGCCAATACGGCAGGAGAATTGATAGTGAGTGGAGGTAGTTGTTGTAGATGCGGGAAACGTTGGGGTTGGAGACGACGATATAGGGCAGATTTCGGAGGGCTTGAATTCGTCTTGCGAGTCGGATGGGGAGTAGCGAGAGTGTGAAGTTGGCGGATGACAACAGCGACTTTTCGGATAGTGGTGGTCGTCCGTGTCTAGAGAAAACAAAAGTGTGTTGTTAGCTACGTGCCGTGGACGTGTGGATGGGCAGGTACTCAATCTGCATGGTTTGTTGGACTTGAGAAGCCAGACGGGGCGGCGATGCAAGGGAACAGGCATACTTGACTAGATCTGCGAGGCTGAGGGGATGTTGGTGTTGTCTCGCCAGGGCTGCAATCTCAGCATCAGACACGTTCGGTGGTGCGTGCCGCAGGAGTCCTGATGTATGGAGTGCTCGGCGTTGTATACAACGTGGCTGTGAGTGAGACGACGGAGGGCAGGAGCGGCAGAGCCTCAATGGCGACGATCCCGAAGTCCGCATTGCAACATGGCGTCCCGGGATGCCAGAGTAAGCGTGAGGGGGGATGTCGTGAGGACGAGGGCGTGGACCGGGGGCCGAGATAGGGAGCGATGTGGTGGAATTGGTGTAAAATGACGGTCGGTGGTGTTTGTCGTTGGACAATGTAGCTGGCCGGCGTCGGTGACGTCTGGGGTACAAGGCTGTCGCTGAACGGGAGCACGCGGTGAAGATGGCCCAAGGGTAGTGTTTTATTTGGTGTAGTTGCTTTACGATGGTTCCAACGATTTGCCATTGATCATTCGCCGCGGGCCGCGCCCAACCTATGCTGCCAATATGAGCGAGTACCTAGGTAGGTAGGTAGGTACCTAGGATGTACACGGAGAACATGAGGGGGAAAGTGACAGGGGTAACCGGAAGAGCGACGCCATCGACGATGACGGCACCTATACTTTATTGGCACTTGGACAGCCTCATGTGAAGCTTGATTTGTTTACAACACAGACGTGGTTGCGAATCATTGTTCCGATACGCATCCTCAAGATTTATCTATCGTAGCATGGGAACGGGACAAAGCGCTCAAGTAGCGAGATAGGCGGCATAGGGTAGCTCGACCCCCCTTCTCTCTTTCCTGCCCCGCCTCTGCCTCCTTGCCTCGTGTCTCTCTCCCCGCACATATGCCTCGTTCGGCGCTCATCCGGCTCCGGCTATGGCTCCAGCTCCGAGATCAAAAGGCCTTGACCTCGCCATCCAGTTCGACGGCCTTGACGTGCTCGTTTGATTCCAGCGTGGCAATGGCATCATCTGGAAAGGACACGCTGCAAGTTGGGGAAATCGGCCATGTTCATTAGCTGGGGTTTGCGCCTTCTGGACGCATGTCTTGCATGTTGCACGAGGCACTTACGCAAAGCCCTTGATCAGGGTATATTCATGGGTGATTTTGCCGCCCTGGTCGAGGGCATGCTGCTTCGCACTGCAGTTATAAGCAACCAAGGTCCAGTTAGCCTTGTTTACGCCGCTCTTTGATTTGTCTGTCGCAACTGGTCTTTTCTAGTCGTGGGCCAGCACGGAGCGGGGGTTCAACATACGCCTTGATCTGGTCTTCAGTGGCATCGTCTTTGCAGGTAACCTATCAGAGAGATGGGATACATTAGCCTCGACAGGGTTGCCCTTGGGCAGTCTATCGACTTACAATATAGCCAGGCATCTTGGCGACTGTGGTGGTTGAGAACCGTTGAGTGTAGATGAGATTGTGGTGTCTGGAGTGTCTGAAGTTGGTAGATCTAGATTGGGAGCGTGTTGTCGTCCCTGTTGTGAGACTTGAAACAACGTGCTTACGCCTCGGCCAAGATGGGTTGGCAGCCAAAGCCAAGGTCTTGAGCCACCACGGACGTGTCATGTTACCATGATGTAATGAGCAGCATGAGCATCTTTACAGCACTTGACACGACTAGCGCTAGCTTAGCAGCCAGCCTGACACTTTACTCAACATTGAAGCTGCCCCTTCCGCAACTCCGTGGGCACGGGCCACTGAGACTGAGCGTCCAGTGACGGGCAGGCAATACGAATACGAATACAGAGCGAAACTGGAGAATAAAGCCCCATCGGAGACTAGTACAAATCGGGCCTGTGCATCATACCTCATTCAAGAAAAGCTCAGAAACAGGCACCGCATCTGCCCACGACGCCGGGTCGACCACACCACCTTGCCCGCGCTGTTTGTGATATTTGCATGAGACTTCGGCTAAGTAGGCCACTTGAGTAGGTAGTACCTGGCGCGGCGCCTGGACGCTCCGTGCCCCTATCTACCTAGGTACCTAGGTAGGTATGTAATATCCAAGAAATTACCGGGCCGCTCAACCGCTGCCCTGCGCCGTTCAACACGAATGGCAAGTGAAATTATGAAAATGTGAAATGTGAAATTGCACCTTGAAATGCGCCTTCCTCCACCGACGGGGCCTCCCGACTCTCCGTTGACAACCATCTGCTACTTGCGCTCTGCTTGTCTTTTAGCCTAGGTAGCTAGGCACGTACTCAAGTATTATTTAATAACACACACTCTTTTTGACCCCCCCCTTTCCTTTGGGCATTCGTTCTCTTCGCTCAAAACTTTCTCTGAACCTATTTTTTTTTTTTTTTTTTTTTGGTGGGGGCCCACCCAAGGTTTTCGGAGGAGGTACTCCCTAATTTAAAAGAGCCCAAAAAAAAAGTCACCACCAAAGCAGGGCCCGCTTCCCGTTCTGCCGTGTCCCCCGACCAGATTCCGGTCCTCTACTCCGTACAGAACCCCGATTAATTTCTCGCGACAAGCGAGTATTCTTCTTCCTGCTCAGTCAGACTCTTCCAGACTCGGTTAAAGAAGTTCGTCGAAATCGCCCATCATGGACGCCAATACTTCGTCGTCTGCCTTCCCATCCATGCTGGCCGGCTCCAAGTATGGCAACGTCAATGTTCCTCCCCAGCTAGACATGATCTTCGAGGCCGTCACCACCGCCCGCGCCTGGA